TCGTGCAGATGTTTTCCGATTTTAAGACTAGGTTGTTTTAAAATAGTGTTTTGGCTGTGCATGCTCGCAAAATCATTTGGTTGTAGACTAGAAAAAAGGCGACAAGAACTGAACTTTATCGATATTATTAGAACTATGGCCGTTTTTTTTTAATATTCGAATTGACAGGCTGGGCGAACTATGCTGACAAAAAGGAGATGAGAACCTTATTCAGTGGAAATGACCACTTTAAAAATTGTGCGTGGAAACAAGTACGTTGCACTACTACCTAGTTAAATAAAGAAGAGTGTACGGATGAAAATACGTAGCACAATCTATATTAATATACGATTTTGTGTATGTAATAATTGGCAAAAGTATTTAAAACTCTCTGTAATCAGGATATCCACTAAATATGGGTTTTTAAGATTTTTTTCGTTTATGGTAGACGAATTAACACATTTTCTTCCAATTCTACCCAACTAATTTACTAATACTACTACGAGTAATTTCGTTTAACTTTAGACGTATGACTCTAGGGTGATGAACTTCAAAAAAGACGTCCTGTATTTTACAACTTTTTTTTATTTTTATAATAATTCCTACAAAATTTTAGCATCAAACACGTAAGGTGGAAAATGTTACGAAATTTAGGGTGTGCCATGCAAAAGCTTTGTTTTTTTTAGTAACTCACAAGAAATAATAGTCGTCTGTCGCCAAACCGTTGGAACAATTTCTGAGTACATACCACCTACATATGCAGAATTTAAAAACAGTAAATTTACTGCATTTCACGTTCTCTGTGGAAGAACTATTAGCGTTTCTAAACCTCCCCGACGAGTAATTGGGTTTATAAAACTTTTAATTGTTACAATTTCGCTCAATAGCCTAGTGCAATAACTTTTTTGCAAAAATCGTTTGGGAACTAATCGTTTAAAACCGGTAATTACAATTGAACCTGTTGTCAATTAGCAATCTTGATCTCCAAGTGTTTCATGTGAAATATACTTGGTATGCCATCTCAACAAAGCACCACTTTTTAGAGAAAAATATGCTCGCTAATTACTCCTTTGTCAAAGTCAATCCGATATGTGAACTCGTACTTTTTCTGTTGGACCACCGTGTCACTGTCAGTCAGATATCCTGTCGGTAAAATGTTGGCAAATATTTAAGTAAATTCAAGAACGTAAAATTCTCAATATAACTAGTTTAAAGAAGATATGCAAAATGTTACGACTTAAATCATCATGCATAAAAAATGTTCGAGTATCTTAGGTCATTAACTTGATCCATACATATGCGCAAGTGAACACAAGAATAACATCTCATGATAATAATGTTGTCTTCATAATACGATGACTTTGAGAATACGTCTAGTCCGCCCACTGATTGAAATAAATCATTTTTTATTTCATTAACAGCCGCGCATAGAAATGGTTTGAGCAATAAAAATGGAAAAGTCATCATTAAGAAATAATTTAATAAAGAAACTACGCGTTTTATGTGGAATGAAATTAATTGGTGAGTTAGGGTTAATAAAACAGACAGACAGTATATTTATACGTATCCGTTTTGTCTTCAATACAACCGATAAAATGAATCGTCACAATTGAAACTGCCTGTATTAAAAATATGTCTTTTGTGGCCAGATTACTTCAAGTGGAAACTGATTTGTCGTTACGACAATATGAATAACCAGCAATCAATAAAACTTTTTATTTCTTAGCGTGGCGTGTTCGATAAAGCGTATAATTCCTTCATTAGTACTAATGAGAAATTATGCAAATGTATCATTCGTTTGCAAGTCAAGTGTGCTCAGTCTTTTTATTTTATGCAAAAACTTAACAAAGCATCCATTTGGGTGATTAAAAAATAAAAACGAATTTAAAAAGTTTAGCATTTGCCTCGTACTCTGGCGCATGATCAACATGTCAGTTGTTAACGTGCATGTCAGGGTGTTATTAAAAAAAAATACACTGTATTTTTAATAAGAATTTGCTGTTTCAGTATGGTAGGTAGTAAAATCTATCATGCGATGTGAATTATTGGTTGCCCACATATCACAATAAATATTTATTTAATCATTTTCTGGGATGACGTCATCAGTTTTTTGTTGAGATAAATGGATAAATTTTTGTCGATGTTATGTAATCAACAGATAAAAATTAGTGTCGTAGCGATATATCACGACGATGTTGGCTTTTTTGACCATAACTCATATTAAAATTTAAAATCAATAAAATAGATAAGGCAAATTGCAGTAGAAATTTCAGCTGAACTTAGCACCATTTTTAGATACCGTCATTAAATTTATGGTAGGAATCATGGGACAAACTTTAGTTAAAATTTCGTTTTAGATGCGATCTTGATTGAAAATTGGAATTACAAAGGATAATGTAAGTAGTTGCAAAGCACTTGTAAGCATGGGCACTTTACGCGATAGCATGAAAATGCAAGTAGTATTATTTCCTTTCAGCGATATTATCCAACGATAAACTTTCTTGAGAATTCGTCCAACTAAGCGCACCGTCTCCAATTACCATAATTAGCATAAACTCGACAAATAAAAACTGTAATTACCCCAATTTTAATGTGGTAATTAGGTCTGCATAAACTTTTGAAATTACATGGTACACGGTTCCAGATGAAAGACTGAATTGCATTTTGAACGTTACAGTGAACATTTCAGGAGATTATCGACATTTTATTTTGAAGTCAGTTAATATACATAATTAGCAGCAGAAAATGCGTCACAGGGTAAGAAAGAATTCTTGTAGCAGCATTTATAATCCATCTTGCAATAAAATTACATATGATTATAGATAGATCTCATTAATCCTCACAGACAAGTCGCAGTAATTACATACGTTGTTGCACTTGGTAACATTTTCTTTTCTTCTGTTTGGACACGTCATGTTATTCTATCCGATTGAGCATAGAGATATCTTTAGCTTTTACAAGGTTCATCCTCGCCGTGGCGACGCTCATCAATGACTTTGCCGAAGCAACAAACTCTTGATTAAATTTAATTAGTGTTGATAAATTTATAAAGTTTACCGTTGACAGATAATTGGGCAACGCAAAATAAGATACTGAGACTCATATTATGTAAAGAGACGCCTTTCCAATTATGCATACACTAACCTTTCTCCGTTAATAATAGATATTCATTTGCTGAAGATAATTACCGTTTGAAATATTCAGGAAACACCGAGTCAACAATGCTAGTTCACGTACTCAGGCATAAAGTTCCCTGCTGTTTCTGAACATTCATCACAATTGTGTCAGATAAATATTTTGCTGCATTCGAATAATTATAGCTATGAATTATTCGTTAGCTCTAGACGTTCTTCTGCGGATACGGATCGTCAGCGGGAAAAAAGGAAGTGAAGGATTATAAATCAAAATTACCAAGGCACGCAATGTAGGTACATTTCCAGATGATTAGTTTCTTTAGAAGATGAGTTCGCAAAGAAACCTACGGAAAAGCACTTTTTTTTTCTGAAAAGTCCATGAAATTATGCAAATAATTAGTTTAAGTAAGTATAAATTGATTGTTTTAGAAATATTATTTGTAGTTATAAAAAAGAGCAGAGACAGAAGAAAAACTGACACGTTTTAAAATTACTAGAGTACATTTTTGTTCAAAATTTTGAAAGAAAAGCAAATAGACCTTCTTAAAGCCCGGGTTTAGGGTTATCTAAACTTTAAAATTTATTAGAACAATAAATAAAATATAATACAAAGCTTACTTAATTTGCGTTTGTTTCCAATATCGCTCTAAGCTTGGCTCATAGAGATATTACAATTATTGCAATTTTCATCCTAATCAGAATGACTATAGATATGCTCGTATATCAACAACAGGTGTGATCACGTCTCGGGTAATTCCACAATAATTATTAAGAAAATGTCATATTTCTGGTAGGTTGTCTGTCTCTTAATATGAGAAGGAAACCATATAATTATAACTTTAACAGTTCACAGTTCACTGATCTTCATATGTATTAATTTAGTCGTGAATATAAGCTTCTTAAACACTCGTTATGAGCAACACTTTTGCAAAATGTTCGTATGCACGGATCACTGTCATATTATGTCTTTGAAAAACAGAATAAACTGTAGGAGACTTATACCGGTTAATTTTTCAAACTGCAGAGTGCAAATCCGACTAAGTTATACACTAATCATAGTTATACGCATAATAAATAATAATCATCTAGAGTTTCACAATGTAACAATATAATCTTTGAAACAAACAGTTAAATATCGTGTTGTCGGTTCTAGTGCCGATTTTCACAATAACTCCATGTAACCTATTGTTAAATCTAATTGTGTGGTCATGATATAGAGTGATTGCTTGAGAAAAGTTCCATGAAGTGCCGTAATTTTAAAACTTTGGTAAAAGTCAGTTCCTGGTTCTGTAACTTTTTAAATTAAATCACCCAATCCGTCAAATTAAAACTTTGTTTTCATGTAAATGGGTTCGAATTTATCTATCCCATAATAATTGTTGTTTTTGAAAAGCTCACTTGTAAGACAAGTAGTTTAAAATGTGGTTTGTTTTTATTATTCAACAACAATTTTTCTTTTGAATTTTTAATCATTTTCCTTCCTAATAAATGTGTTCCTGACTATGTTGGAAATGTTCGTTACTCTTAAATCTATGGATACATTGGTGTGGAGTCGTTTATTACAAAAAAAAATTTCTATAAATAGATATGATCATTTTCATGATTTTTATAAATTTACTTCGATCGCTATGAGTTTGGGGACCAACGTTTCCAAGAGAATAATAAAATACACATGAAGTTTTCTTTCACGTTATTAGTGTCAGTTTTTGCTTTGAATATACTTAAAATTACCTTACATGAATCATAAATCACGACTTACAAACAATTGTTAGTTATTCCCCCACATAACTGCTGTAAAACAATACGTCAGCTAATGATAAAGTTAAATCAGCATCACTGGAATTTCCAGACTTTCAAGTGGAGTGTTCATAATCTATTATTTGCAGTGAATTATTAATTTTTTGGTCACTATCGTGGCGACTACTAAATGTGCAACGAGGAAACTACAGTAAAAAAAATGTCCCGTGAAGAAATTAAACCACGTATTAAGGAAGTCTTAATGATACACATGGGAGGTACCATTGGAGCCAAAACAAACGAAAATGGTGGTAAGTTTTTCTATAACATTTTTATATACATAAGTACTGGCAGATGGAGTCTTTAAGTTAACTAAATGCTTACTATCAATTGATTTTAGTTATTAAAGGACTGATAAAATACATCTGCCCAAATAATATTCGTACACATTTTGTTGGGATTTTTGAATTAATTTATGCAAGAAGAATGTGCAGAATTTGCTCGTAAATACTCACTTTAATTAACAATAAAGTAAGCTTAGATCACATGATATTATCCATGGTGTCTTTTGCGACTGTTTTTTTTTAACTGATACTATTTTCTTAGAATCAGTTATCGTTAACTGATAAAGCTGCGGATACTTTTTCTAACTATAATGACTGGCAAAAAACACGTTTGCCCTAAAATGTTTTACAAAAACGCTTCAAAAGTTATGAATTTAGCTAGTGATTATTTTTTATTTAAAAAAGTATTCACTGTTGACACAGAGTATACAAAATAGCTAAAAAAGAGACAAATAAATACATTCACTAGTTAAAATATAATTTTAAAGTGGTCTTGCAAAATACACTGCCGGACAAAAAAACCGGACACTTGAAATTTTTGTGATTACCTCCAATTGCTCCAACTTTTGTAAAAAATATTCCAAGAAACAAAATATTATGTATTCATTAACAGAAAACATAACTTTATTCTAAAACATGTGGAAACAGAAGTAAATTAAAAAACGTTATAACAAGAAACATTAGAGTAAAGTTCAAGTGTCCGTTTTTTTTTTGTCTGGCAGTGTATTTCACGGTAGGCGATTTTCTTTACGGGTCAGTGTATTTAGGCAGTGTTCATGTTCAGTTAGATTTTAACAACAAGAATCATGTTCTTTTTAGTAATATTTTAAAAATTTGCTAAGTAAAAATTCGGTGACAGCTCGATCAGATGGGATTTCCAGTTTCTTTTTAAGTGATTGTGCATATGTTTGAGTCAAAGTGTTCATTTCGTCAATGTATGCATTGGCTAATTTGCTCAGTAAATGTGTTCAGAATGGACAATATGTAAACTTTACCTAATCAACGTATAAATTGACGATTCCCGCTCAGTCAAAGTGTGCATCACCAAAGAACACATGCTGACAGAATCCCACATCTATTGATGTTTTAGCGGCACTTATTATTTATTATTATTATGTAGGGTGTAGGATTTAGTGTAATTTACCTAAAATGGACCAAAACGAAATATGTAAAAACAACGGACAGACGGCAGACAAATAGTCGGAAACGAGAGATCCAATTTTTAGTATAGTTATGAAACGTCTAGAACACATGAAAGTAGCCAGGCACTCGATGGCCTCGATTATAGTACTTTCTCAGCTTACGATCGGGAACTAATAAGGAGCGGCTGATAGTTATAATACTAAGGGCCGATTGCATAAACGCAAATCAAATTTAATCTCTGATTAAGAACAATTGTAACTATGAAAATAACAATCGTTACTATGGAGTTAATCAGAGATTAAATTTGATTTGCGTTTATGCAACCGGCCCTAAGTATCAGAGATCAATTTCTCCGTTATGTAATATTGCAACAATATTTTAATGTCTTCTACACACGCAAATCTATGGATCCATTAAACACATAATCTTCCCTAACCACCACAGTTTCATTGAAATAAAAAGGACAATCCCAAATTGAGCGTATTTTATGCAATATTCTTCTGAAATAGTTGATAGTTCTGGTTAAGTAGATATAATATAATATACTAAAAGCTTTTGACCATATACACTTCTGGCACGAAAAACGGACCACTCTAATTTTTTTTAGAGGAAAGAACCATAAATACGTAAAATAAAGTTGGATTTCGGCTGCAATACTTTGAGGTTATGCAAAATCTATAGTAATATTTTTGTCTAAAAGAACTAAAAATAGATTTTAATAGAAAATCATAAAAATTCAACACACAAAGCTGAAAAAAAGTTAAAAAAAAATGCAAAAACAATGAGCATCAACACACTGTTTAAGGACGTCAATAAGATGTGTTTCACCCAGGAGCCTGTAAGATTGTTACCATTTTCGTGGGCAACCCACGAATTAAATTGTCTATTTATTCTTGTTGGAAGTACTGTATTCAGAAAAATATTAGGTGGTCCGTTTTTCGTGCTAGTGAATGTAAATCATTCCCTTCTTCTCAAAATGTCTAGGACATTTGGTTTTTCTGAATGCATCTTATTAGTGCATTCTTTTTTATCTAAACCTAATTAGTTTGTTCGATATCATAATTTCGCTTCCGATTGGTTTACACCAGTCTCAAGCGTACCTCAGGAGTCTAGTCTAAAACCAATGGTGTTGTTATTATTTTTGTTAATGATTTGCCGGAAGTATTAAAGTGCACAGAATATGGTGGCGACCATTAATTTTATGATGAAATTAGAGGTATTCATATTTACGAAGCACCACAAATTTGGCTCGGTCGTCTGGTTGAACGGTGTCTGAAAAACAGACTTTCTTTAAATATATTAAAATGTTGTGTATTGTCTTCTATTGGAAAAGTACTTCGGATTCTGTATTCTTGCCATACAAGAGGAATTATATTAAATCGAATTACGGATATTAAAGATTTAGGCACAGTTTTTGACAGCACACTCTCGTTTGTCTCATATTAATATTAATAATATCATTAGTAAATCTCTTAGAATTTTTGGTCTCATTTACAAAAACACCAAAGTATTTGCTAATATAAAATCAACTATTAGCCTGGAGGACGATTTTGGGCTATACTAATTTACTCGTTTTCAACATAAACTTTTGAAGTTCACCATATGTCTCATAATACATGGAATCTATTTTTATTGCTCGGTGCGCTATAATGTTTATAATATTTATTTCCCAAACACCGATACCACACAAAATATTTGTCGACGCCTTTCGCCAATCATGATGGCATTATCTGAAAACTAAAGTTAAAATTTTTCTAGGTAATGCTATATCTCCGCTATTAACAGACCTAAAATTTTAAATATATATTGTTCACAACTTTCTTTATATAACGCAAGGGCAATTTCGTTAAAAACTGTTTGGGATCATATTTTTCTTTTAATTTTAGTGAAATTTTTGCATAACGTATTTTTAAAAATCAATATCTTAATTAATAAAGGAAATTTCAGAACACGGTTTTCAACACTGTTTTCAGCTTACAAAACTTCAGAAATCATACCCGATATATCGTCGATTTGTTGTGTTAGAAATGATGGACAGTAACAAAAAGCTTGTGTCATAGATGTTGCTAACTTTTATTTTTACTATTTTATTGTTTTTGCGTTTGAACATTTAATCTAAGTTAGTCTACTGATTGTGGTTGCAAATAAAGCATGTTTTAAAGTTTTTGTTGAACCTAAAATTACAGTAATTAATCTAAACTATATAGCCAAAATGTCATAGTAATGAATTTTATTTGATTGACACGAGTTATGGCTAGTACTATGTTATCACAAATCATTAATCCTTTTTTTATTTTTATTTCAATACCATAAGGTGTTACAAAAAGAATAAAGAATGCTTTAGATACAGATTTTTATTCGTTATCTAGAGCTTGGTGGTCGAAATTTATTTATCCCCCCTACCAGCGAGCAGTGCAGGCCGACCGCAACCTTGGTTTGTCCGCTGCTCGCTTTCTAATTGGTATTATTTTTGATAATTTACACAAACAGTTTTATTTTCAACGAGACCAACACTTGAAAATTATTAAAATTATCATTATTATTTATATTATGTCATGAATATGGATTTTAAAATCATTAACTGACGTTCAGTTAACATTATTTTTCTCATAATTTTCTTTACGACACGTAACATCGGCTGCGAGCCACTGGTCTGCAGTGGAAGGAGTTAATACGAAGCGCGTAAATTTCAACCGTCGAGCTCTATTTATAACTTTTGTTTTTAACGTGTTGGCATAAATTAATCAGGGGAGCAATATTTTCAAATTTCTGTTTTTACATGTAAAATCCCTATGTTTCAAAAAACGATTCTACACCCGTTATATCGGATGCTGCTCTAAGCTATAACACTATAAAGACCATCTAGTGGGGCATTGGCGAATCCTCCAAAAAGATTATAAACAAATTTTAATGTGTGAAAAGGCTATTATCGGACTACTCGACCACAAACTATATATTCCTGACGATAAATATTATATTAATTCGGAGAAAGTTTTCTAGAATCAGAAAACCAAACACTATTTTGGCATAAAATTATTTAATGTACTCTTGAGCTTATGAAAAATTGGATATCTACTTATCTTATCTAAATAAAACAAGATTTCATACAAAATACCTAGAAACTAAGTACGCATAACTTATAAAATCAACTTTATACAAGGAAAATGGAATTTCATCACTTTTTTTGCGATCCACTTGAGGTTTTGTTAATGGTTAGGGACTTTACCCCGTTGGCTAGCCTTGTGGTTACTATTTTCTTGAGATAATAACTAACAAAAACAAAGCTTTTTACTTTACTACTTTTTAGTACGCATGTTTTATAGGTACATAAAATTGTTTTAACACGCGAATTTTAAGACAACTCTTTTTCGTATGGTATTTTTTGTACTTTCATACTTAAGTTTTTAAGTGTTTTACTGAAATTATTATGAAACTACATTTTGTTAAGGTTCCTGATGCGTATTTAATCTATAAACACTAATATACTTTTTATATTAGTCTTTGCGTCTGGAGCATCACCGATAAGTTTCCAATGTTTCTTTATTCCGTGCAAATAAATTGTTTGATATCTTAAGGCTGGCGTCCGGTTCGGTTTAGCCCTATACTAAATACATTGAAAATATCGTCGCGGTTTTCGGAGTTGCATTTTAAAAATACGAGATACCTATATCGCTTTAAAAAAAATATATTTCGAATTAACAAACTTCAGTCCAGGGGACCTCCATATTTATATTCATATCTAGTATGCAGTTTTTACAAAAAAAAAATTATAAAGTTGAACAACTTTTACATCACATTTTAACCGGCACATTGATGCATTTTTT